GCTCCTGATAAAAGGACTGGAAAACTGCAATCTCAACAGCAGCATCTTAGATGCATGAATAGGGATGCCAAAAAATGTGCGTATCAAATGTGACCTAATGACTTAACCTTGAAGGAAAAAACAAGAACACCTCTTTACTTCACAGGTCAGTTTCCCAAGGAATATTTTGACAAAGCTCTTAAAACTTATCAGGCCTTGTTTGGGAGAGACCTCTGATTCAAAAGGCTGAAAACATATTTTGTTGTGTTGTAAACAAAAGTGCTGAAAATGGTCATATGATCTGTTTCCCTGAGCTTGAATCAAACTAATCCTGTTAAAGCTCAGAAATATGCATGACTCAGTAGCCAAAGCCATGCATGTATTTGCCCTTGCACAGCTGCTTCCACCTTTCATTGTCCAAAAGTGCTGTGTTGCTGATCTCCAAACAGCCTCTAGTGCTTTAGTCCTCTTTCCAGAAATGAATTCAAAACATTGCATCCTGAACTTTTTATTAAAAGGGACTTCTGAAAACAATTTTGAAATTGAACATGTATATAGTTCCTATCTGGATAAATTAGAAGTAAACTCAACAGCTTATGTTATTACCATTGTGCAATTCTACTACTTTTAAAACTTTTATTTTTCCCTACTCTCTCACTGCTGATTACCTACTCCATTTTCTGCTCCACTCTTCCATCTTCTAATGAGCTTAACAGTATTCTGTAACCATTTACTACAAAATCCTGGCTGATCTGGAACTAATGGAATGTTAATTCGAAAAAGAAAAAAAAAAACTTAAAAATGGTATGATGTGCTTAGAAGGATGATGAAATGATTTGAAATCTCAGTGCAGTCCTAAATGCACTAGGTTTCAAGTATCAGGAGCAAATAACCACATATGTGCTATCAAATTTCCAGTTTCTCAGCTGCAAAATGAAAATGATACCTTCCTAAACAATGCAAGAGCACAATCCCTCAACTATTAAAATCAAAACCACACACAAATATCAACTAAAATAAACTTTACTATTGCAAGAAATTCCCAAGATTCAGAACAGAACACTTTTTTTTTTTAGCATCTTTGTAAGTATCAGCCAAGGCTGGACAGCACAGAGCATAAGCTATTTCCTACAAGCAGGTCTCCCAAGACTGATATTGGAGCAAGCTAGAAAGAAACTTGCAGGCCACTACATATGGCACACCAATGTTTTCCAATTCATAAAACCATCATCTTTTATAGCAAAGACCTCTGTAAGATAAAGTACTAGAAAAAGATAAGGAACTGGACAACCTTTGATATGTTCTGCCCTCATACTTCACATACACAAATGCCAGTGCTGCAGCAGTGTCGACAAAGACTTCACATACTCCATCACATACTCGTTCCTTGCCTGCTTCAGAGAGAGATGTTTAACACAAAAAGCAGGAAAGCTTGTAACCTTCACTTTCTCAGCATCACACATTATTAAATAATAATCAATTTCAATTACTCTGTAATAGAAAACCCTTGTGGTTGAAAGAAGAGAGACTGGAAAGGTTTGTCGTCCTTCTGCACACTGTGGGTGCAGCAAACAACAAAGGAGAATGTCTGGTCCTGTAAAAATAAGCCTTAAAGCAAAAGGAGGAATAGTAAAATCTATTCCTCACAATGAAATGGAGTTCAATCTGCAATACCAACATGAAAATGGCAGAAAAAATATTCTAAAACATTGAAAAATACAAAAACAATTCATAATTTCTTAAACTAGTATAACAGTCTTATTTATTCTTATGCTCCTTAAAGGTACTAATATCAATGAGCAAGAGAGTTAGTGGATTCTCAACACCTTTCAATGCTGCAACCTGGCATTTATACATTCCTTGCTAGGGTCCCTTCTGGATGACCCCTGGTATCTTCAAAAATATACTTAAAAGATCAATGAATTACCATTTTGTACCTTGGCACACAGTGGGAAGTTGTAAATGAAACCAGGAACAATTCAATTTCTCAGTTGTGTAGATTTTTGCTTCAATATTAAAATAAATAAATACGAGGTATATATGAGGGCACTTAAAATGTTTTTAAGGTTACAAACATTTGAAGATTACACAAATTTACAGACTATACCTGTGCAGCTATTTGTATTTACACATCCACAAAATTCCAGTGAAGTAAAGTTTTAAAACAGATGTGAGAAGTCTGTGAAGCTACTCAGCAGCCTTACGAGTCACAGCTGTACTCTCAAGGTCAGTGCCAACATAAAATTTGCATTTTTTTCTGTATTCATTGTGCAATTGATAGGATGCATCACAACACTCAAGTTTCTAGTGCTGTGCTAATTTGAATTTCAGACTAGACCATTCAGTTTCTTAAGTCCAGTAAAACTTACTTTCTATCCTGAGCAAGGCATAAGAACTCATCACTGGTGAAAGTTGCATCTGGAAACTGAAAAAAGTGCATACAACTCTCTTTTAACCCTTCTAGCAAACACATTGAAGGAAGTTTTTGTGGTACTTTAATTCCTGCATATCCAGAAAGAATGATCTTGTATCTTTATGAAAGATATTTTTATGCAAGACATTTACCATCCTTATATCTTGGAAGCTATTACTTTTTAGCATATGGTATTCAAATTTACAAATAACAAGTTACTATTATAAAAAAATGGCATTTCGGGTTTTTCCTTTGGAACAGATTTTAAAGTACAATGATTTCAAGTGCAAATGCATTAAAAGATGCAAGTGTATAGGAAGATATTTTAAACAGTTCTTTTTCAGACCCTGCACTTGTTATTTAATGAACAGAATGCTGAGGAAGACATTTCACTCTGGACAGTTATGCAAAGATAAATCTGTTGAGGACGTAGTCTATACTTGCAACAAACATTTATTAAAACATAAAGAACCATCTACTCAACTACTTAACGTGTTTCAGTTGGAACCAACTTTTCCCACCTCCTTTTGCTTTTTACAGCATTAGGCTGTTAACTTAGGACACACTGCTTGCCTTTGCTGCTGCCTTTTTCCTCCCTCTGTGACAGGATTCCTATGGATATCCACAGAGTTATCGCAGTGTGCTTCATCAACGGGAACTAAAGCCAACCAAGTGACAGATCATTTTTGCCAAAATCTAGTGAGCTCTGGAATTATCTCAAGCCAGAAAACTCAAGTAGGAGCCTGGAGTTCGACTGGGCAAAGCTGTCCTAGAACCAAAATATCTGCCATTATGTAAAGAATCCTTCACAACTAGGAAGGATTTCCCTATTTCCAGCTGATGAAAGATATGCCAGATACTAATGTAAGATCCAAAAGGCCAGAAAAAGACTGACTGAAGCCAATATAATGAACACCTCTACTTCTCAATCCAGGCTGACAAATAAAATTCCAAGATCTGAGAACTTTGTAAGTCAGAAACCCAAGAATATTTCTTCCAATAATGTATTTTCAATCAATTGTACTCCTGGATTTTCAGTAGTTTAATCCAAATCTCCTGAGAAATGTCAGACAAAAGAATGAAAGTTGTTGCCAAAATCAAAACACTGAATCTACTGTTTATTTTAAACTTTCTTGTTGTCATCTTCTAGAAAGGAATTAGGCTTGCTTGACAAGACCATTCTTGAAATTTTCTTAGCTATTACTCCCCCTTCTCTTCTGTCAGGTACAAGCTTGTCCACCAGTTCACTGTACAAAAACCCACACAAATTAGGCTGACAGATGTTTAATATCCATTTTCCACGATGCACCCTCTACACTTATCTAGCCTTCTCTTGGCTACTAAGACCAATATTTCATAACCAGTATTGGAAATCTGTATCCATTACAGAACCAGTTGCTTCGTTTGGTGTAAATTTCAAGGTCAACACACAGCTAGCATGTTCCTCTTCCATCAAAATAATTGTCTTTGTAAAATACCTACTGTCAAGTAACGTTAAAGTCTCTATTGAAATAAGGGGCATAGAGTGAAATTACTTTGGAAACCAATCTTCTGGCTTCTGTAAACTCACTTAAAACACCTGATCAATGTAAACAGAAAGCCAGAATTCACTGTTCTCAAAAGCACCAGGTACTACCTGGTAGCTGCCTTGCTTTGGATCAGAAGAAGCCTGGCATTACCTTCCATTTTGTATTGAGTTTCTTTATGTTAAAAGCTGTCAAATCAATCAACAAAAGGGTTGGTTTGGTAAGTTACAGAGAAAGTGACATTTTACATAATCTGTGTTGCTTATCTGTTACTGTAACTGTTATTTTCCTTTTGCAGTATCACAAACATGAGACAGTAATGAACTGAAAAGGCAAAGGAATGCAGCTGATAGAAATTTCCATCCCTCCTTTCAATTTCAAGACACAATTGATTGACAGAAGTCAATGCACCCAACTTCATTCTCATAAATACTAGTCACAAACCAACAGTCACATCCTACCCAAAGAAAGAGATAATAGCAATTTCAAACTGATCAAGCATTAACGTCTGTAGGTAGCGTAAGCCTCAGTTTAGGATTTACTGAAAATGGGACTGTGTTCCATCTATGTACCACAGACAAAGCAATAGTACATGACAGAGTTTCCACCCATTACGTCATATATTGGACAAATATTTGTATATATCATCAAGTATCTCCAACAAGTTGAACTACAAAAATTAAATTTGCATAATACTGTGAAAATTCCCTGGAAACAGCGAGACAAAAACCTTACATGTAACAGCCTGCAACACACGCCAAAAATATATCAGTGCTGAAAAAGACAAACTAGTTGAAGACAAAGCCCTTAAAAATTGAACACCAAAGGAAAGGCTTGAATTAGGTACAGGAATCTCTGAAACCTAGATAAGACAACAAAGTATCTGTGTTCTCCCTACACTTAGGACTCTCTCAAAGAAAACTGTAGCAAGAAGTAAAATTAAAAATACACAGCCTGCTGGGTCAACATAAAATTAACACTAAAAAATGTAGAAGGGCAAAAGTTCCTTCCTAGTTTCACTTAATACACAAATTACCATAACTCTTTCAAACATTTAAGTAGAAAATAAAAATAGAATTTACCTTTGAATGTCTCCAGTTCCTTCCTGTTGGAGAAGAGCAGAATTTAAAAAATAATTAGAAATATCACATGCAGAACTACAGGATTTATTTTACATGCTTTAAGACTCACTAAAAGACAAAAATCAAAGAATTTGACTGTCACCATATATAAGGGCAATATTACTATATGTGTTTATCTAAAGCAAAGTCAACTTGTTTATAAATTAGGCCACCATCTCTTTATAAAAATGTACAATTATACAAATATTGCACATTTATATCTAGCTACATAATTTCCACATACACTGCTCCAAAAATAACCAAGTCTTCTTAAGGCTTTAGTTACTAAAGCATCCTTTTCTTAGAGAGATTTACCAATTTACAGTACCATGAATAACAATTTGTGTCCCATTTTCATCAATGCTATTCAAATAAATCTTGGCAACAATGAAGCAGAAACATTTGACAATATCACTCACTTAAAACAGAATGACAGGCAAAGAGATATACAGTGACATTCCTCAGAGGAGAGGATTTTCAAGTATGGAATATGACAGATAACCCAGAAAGCCAAGATGCATCAGAAAGCTAAGAAATGAAGAAAAAAAATATCATTTTTGCCTTCATATCAGGCCACTTTCCATTTTTAGTGGTTATGCAATTGTGAATGCAGAGGCTATAAAATGAACAGAAATATCTTCTCTGTTTTAAAGAAATTGCAAAATGCTCCAATTGTCATTACTACAAGGTAGTGATTCATCATTAATTTAAAGGCTAAAGAAGAATCAATGTAATAACTGAGATAAGGCAGAATGCTGGCCTTAAAAAATACTCATTTACATAAAATATTTTTTCAGTCTGCGCCTCACAGAATGCCTAGTTAAATTCTGAAGCAAAAGAGACTGTAAGAAAAATAAAGACTGAATTCACAGTTGTTCAGATAAATTATTCTATTCTCTATCCACTGACTAAAGCACTCTTCAGTCACCTACCAGAGACACTGTTTCACAATACAGATGCTATACCATAATAACTCCCTTTACCCCTTAACAGATTTAGCAATTCAGCATATATTCTTGCATCAAGTACAGATAAAACTCACTCAAAGTTGAAATAATTTATTCTCTAAGCAGGCCAAAATATTCTGTAAGAAGCAAGAGAATGAATTTACCTCCACATTTTCGGAGAACATCCCACTTTTGTCACCAAATGTTAAATACAGGTTTTTGAAAGAATGGGTACTTTACCAGGAAATAAGCTAGAGTGTGATTCACAGTAAAGAATTCTATTAGTTGCATACTTCCTGTGAGTATCTATTTCCTTTCCTGCTTCTCCTCCATCCCTTTCCCAAGCTAGTTTCTCCCTTTTATACCAGAGAAAAAAGCTACTTTAAAATACCTGTGATTTGCAGGCTCATACCCCAAAAAATTTCTCCTACCCTGTATACTCTAACATAGAGTTACAAAATTCTTAAAGTTACACAATTCTCACAAGCTGCCCTCATTTTTTAATAATGGCACAGTAGTTGAGGAAACAACAATCACAGGAAATGCTTGTTTTCCATGGACTGAAACAAAACCTTACTGGAGGAAACATCTTGTGAAAGTAAGAGGGGAAAAACTACATTATTTGCACCTAAAATCAGGAGATTTACTTGTCTACAAAAAAGATTAAACAATTACTGCCATTGTGTTGAAAGAGGTTAGTAAACAAGATGGTAATACAATAACCAAGTGGCAAACACTCATTATGTCTAATACCCCAGAATTTTCCTTTTCAAAATCCGTCAATATTTTTAGGGTTGAGATGCACTAAAATATTGTCCCTATATCCATATACATCATTACCATTCATTAAGAAAATTGGAAAGTAGTATCTGACAAAAATTTTTTCTCTGAAAAATGAGAAGTATCTGTGATTAGCATACACTAAAAATACAGGTTTGAAATTTCAGGATCTGTACTTCCTAGTATCCTCATACCAATTCAGACCCAAACACAGAAGATTTCATATTTTATATGGCATTAATTAATCATCTCTTGTGGTTTCTCACAAGACTTCCAATAAAACTTCCATTTAGAAATATATACTAAAGTACATGCTTATTGAAACCATGTTCAGCATCACCAGCATGAAAGATTTTTTAAAATTTATTAAATCAAATTATCCAAATAAAAACTTGGAATTTTAAACATTTTAATCTTTAATCTCATTTATCAGCAGCTTTGGTAAAAACATGACACTAAACTGAGAAGTGGAAAGGAAAATTACTTCTGATGACATTGGAAAAACAAACAGCTTAAAAGTATATCAGTACATTTTGTAGTTGGGTAATTAAGATCTGGCACTGATGCACAGAGAAAAACATATAATAGAGTATTACACTTCTCCCCTTTACAAGTAAATAAATGTTTTTGTATTTACTGATAAGCTGCCAGAAGGAAGATGCCTCCTGTGTCTTCTCTAAGAGTCTGGAGACAAAAAGGTCATCTGCAGAATACACTGACCTCACATTAACAATTGAACTTCATATTTGTAACACAGGCAATGTAAAGAAACAGCGATTTGTGAGAGTAATTAAAATGAAAAGGATTAAATTGAAAGCAGTTTTAGAAAAGTGGCCTTCAAAGCAAGGTTAATAGACAAGCAGGAGGAAACATGTAAGGCAATTGAAAGTGCTCCATAGGGAAATGCTCCTGGATTTTAAGGAGTTTTCATCCAAGTGAACATTCATGCACTTCACAGATGGATGAGATAACCCTTTCCACTACTATTAGAAGGAAAACACACACCTGCCTTGCATCTGGCTTCGCTACACATGAAGGCTCTTGAAGCCCAATGTGAGCTGCTCAGCATCTGTCCAGGATTAAAGGAGCTCCCATGCTGAGTCCGACCACTGAGCAGTACAACTACCTGGCATCTGACTATATGCTCTTCAGCTACTAAATTTTAGGTTACTGACAAAAAAGCCTGGCTAGTTACTCATATAAGAATACACTTTACCTTTTCATAGTTAACAGTAAGCTTTCAGAAGAAAGGACTGAATTAGGAGGCACATTATAATATAAATAGCTCTTTTCAGTGAAAGACGAAGTTCAGCACCTCTGAGCAAGAAAAAAAAGGCTAAAATAACAGACTAAAGTCTAAAATAATCGGACTATAAAGGCATGGAGATACTTCAAAAGTAATCTCATTCTGTATACAGAGCAATTTACAAATCCCAGATTCTTTCCTGAGAGGCAAGAGGCAGTACAGGCTTCACTGACACTGAAGTTTTATGTCCATGAAAATTACATTGACACACATACAGGCAATAGTGTTAATCCCTACCTTTCCAGTTGCTTGTTTTCATAAAATATATGGGGGGGGAGGGGGGCAGGGAGGGGTGGGATTTAACTGTTCTGTGAATTTCTGTACATGTCAAACTCAGTTACCAGTTTTTAGGATACCTGGAATGTTCTAACGATGATGCTGTCAGTGGTCTCCACTTCTTCATTTACAGAAAAGTTAAGATTCAGGGCTTGTGGTGAGAAAACGTAATTGTGGAGACAACAGGTGAAACAAACCATCTACAATATATGACTTGTCCCACAGGGTAACTGACACGACCAGTTAAGAGTTACAATCTAGTTAGAAGGCAGATACAAATTCCCAGGGACTTTGTCATACCCCTCAGGTTTTTCATTGCATTTTTGGATTAACCCTGCTCTAGCCACTGTATCTTGCAAAAGGCTGTAACATTAAGATCAATTTCCTAAGTGTAACTAAACATCAAGGAATCCAGTTAAATACCTAGGAGACTACAGGAACACCACATTCCTTACAAAGATGCCACCAGCCAGAATTGACCGAATTTCATACCTGATCTTCAGGAAGAAAATAAGCAGATAAGAAAGTAACAAATTCCTAAATTAATGTCAGGAACAATTTTATAACACAAGCTCTAAGAGTAACAGTCAGTAAACTCCAACTACTAGACTTATATATAAACAAAAGGCAATATTAAGGCAGCATATGAATGCTAAAAATTTAGGATTAAATTTGAAAGATTTTACAATTACACGTTAATAAATGGTGAGCTGTAAATACTATTTACAGATAACATATTTAAAGAAAGTATACATGCTTATCAGCAAATTAATCTAAAAAAAAATATGGCACCTAACATGATCCAACTCAGAAACTGAAAAATGCTGCATTTCCTCTGCTATGTCTGGTATAGTTAAGTTTTCAAAATTATGGATTAAAAAAAAAGTCCTTCCATAGCCTGACTCAAGCTTTAGCAAGCTAAAAAGCCATAAGATCTCCCCTTAGGACTTTCCTCTGGATGTCATCAGAAGTAAAAGCCAAAAAATGGAGAACTCAAAACCTATGTCACTTGTACAGTGTGCAGAAATAATTCAAGTACTTTTTTTTTTTTTTTTTTTATTTAGGATTAGCACTTCTGTCAATCCTGACACAAAACTGTTTTCCCGGTCCCTGAGACTGGTTGAGCACCCCTTGGAGATACTTAGGCCAATTACTACTTTGAAATACACTTGACAATGAAGCAATGAAAAGCCTTTGAGTAGAGAAAAATTAGTAAAAACCAACACTATTACTAAACAACTGCTAGAATTGAACTGCAGGCAAGGGTTTCTATTCATCTGACAAAACACTGAAGACAGGTCAGAATTCTCCATAATCAAAACTGATATTTTAACCACTAAAAGAGAAGAGCAGAGAACTAAGGCATTTCAGTAATACCACAATGGAGATTTTTTTGCTTCCATACTCATGCAGATACAGAAGTAGCTGGAGTCTGTTTTCCAGCACAACTTCTATCTTAATTTCAATCCAGAAGATGGAACTGATCCCAGCAAATTTTTGCAACAATCACAAACATTAACTAGTAATCAAGTTAATAAATACAACCAAAAACAAGCACTGCCCTAATATATTCAGCAGTTCCAGGGTTCATTGAAAGCATTTCTGTTTTGATGTTTCAAAAAAAACCCCAACAAAGCTTAAGAACATGGGAAGCCAATTTTCAGGCACTATTACT